CTAGGACTCCGTGACCCGCTCTCACAGGCCCCGCCCCTCGAGGCCATGGTGACGGGTGTCGACGGCGTCCGCGACGCCCCGTCACTCAGACTAAACCTCTAAAGGGCGGTATCCTGCTGTCACCAAGGGCGTGTGGCGATTGGGGACGTACGCACGTCCGTTAAACAACGCATGCTTTCGTGAAGCTCCTTTTACGAGACTGACTACAGTCAGCTTGGTTTTTCTCGCGACACTCTGCGCCTATGTGAGCCTTTCCGGGAGCGGAGTCCCGGATGTCGCGCAAATTCCCGCGATGGTTGTGCAAAGACCTCTCCTCCCCCACCGACTCCCGCCCTCCTCCGGCCCGGAACTCGCCGGAAGTCGGTTGGTCTTTCAGGGACGGATCGTCCAGTTGGTTAGTCGTGTGCCGCTTGGCTTCCCGGCACTCCCGTGCCCTAGCGTTCTTCCCAGTCGACGTCTCGATCTGAAGGCGTCTGAGGGGAGGAAGATGGTCTAGCCTGGCGGGGTTTTGTGTGTGATGTTGGGGCCGCAGGGGCGCGTTTGCGTTCCAACTTGCTGTGATAGCCGCCCCCCCATCCACCCAAGCAGATGGTGGGGAAACTTGTGACCACGTCTAGAGGGAGGTTGGATTGGGGAGAGGGGGAGAGCCCGGTTCAGAAGAGGAAAACACAAATGGACTTAATGTCTCCTATTCCCCAACTAAACTTCGGGTTCCAAAGAGGTTATAGAACGTCCTCCAGAAGCTTCAGTCAGCTCTAAGTGATGAAAGGGGTGCCGGGAGGTGAAGGAGTATTTAGCTGGGTGGATGCCTGGAGAATGTAGCACTGACCTCATCTCCAAAGATAACAATCGAGAAAGAAAAGGAAAAATATTCGTTCAGAAAAAAACAAGAAGAAAACGATGCGATCTAAAGTGCTTAGGAGTCTATCAAGTTGAAGAAGAAGGGGCCAGAATGCATGCCAGGTCATTTTAAGGTTGGGTGTGGTTAAATGTTACTCAATGGCGTTAACTCATAGGGTTTTGTTAATTTCAAAAGGCAGTGACAGTCAAATTTTCACTTTTTAGGTTGGTGGTGTCTGTAAATGAATGAAGGAGAAATAGCCATGGTAGATAATTTGTAATACAGGTAAAACCAATGAATATGAAATCACTGCAGGGAAAGATGGCGGGGGGGGGGGAATGGGAAAGGAAATGAATGACAGAAATTTTGGGGATAAACCTATGTGGGCTTACAGATAACTCGTTTCTAGTTTTCACAGTTGGTGAAAGGCATTACGCCATTAAATGAATGCAAAAACAGATTTGTAAGGTTAAGTTTTGCTATGGATGTATTCAGCTGAACTACAGCTTAGAGACACAGGACACAAATGTAAAAATGTTAGGGCTGTAAAAATCTACTCAAATCCTTTGCATAATTGTTTTTTTGCCAGTCCTGGGGCTTGAACTCAAGGCCTTAGCACTGTCCTTGGGCTTCTTTTTGCTCAAGGCTAGCGCTCTACCACTGGAGCCACAGTGCCACTTCCAGCTTTGTCTGTTTATATGGTGCAGAGGAATTGAATCCAGGGCTTTGTGCATGCTAGGCAGGCACTCTACCACGAAGCCACATTCCTAGCCCTGCCTAATCATTTTTAAGAGTGTTATCTTACCAGCTAACAGTAGAACTCTTCATTTGGCCTAGATGAGTCATTTGTCAGGTATATTTATTGCAGCTGTCCCTCTCCCAGTTTCCTCTTTATTCTCTGAAGCCTTTTATACAGTGTTGTTTCAAAGTACTTTATCTTATAGCCAGTGTTTGTTTTTTTTTTTGGGGGGGGGGTCCGGTCATGGGGCCCGAACTCTGGGCCTGGGCGCTGTCCCTCAGCTCTGCAGCTCAAGGCTAGCGCTCTACTACTTGAGCCACAGCGCCACTTCTGGCTTTTTTCTTTTTGCCTATGTGGTGCTGAAGAATCAAACCTAGGGCCTCTGGCATGGAAGGCAAGTGCTCTACCACTGAACCACCTTCCCAGCCCCAGAGCCAGTGCTTTTTTTCTGTCATAAGTAAGACTTTCTCTATTCCAAAGCTGCGCAAATATGTCCTTCTAGATGAATTAACTTTTGTGAAAGGTATGACTGGAGATAAAGGTGGTTTATCTCCCATCTGGATATCTAATTGTCCCAATGCTATTTCTTGAAAATATTTTCATTTCCCCTACTAAATTCTTTGAAACCTTTGTTGTCATGTGCGGTGCTCAAGACACCATCTAGGAAACAGGACTGCTAAACCTGCCAGATCTTAATTTTTTACTTTTTTTTTCTTTTGGTTGGTCGTGGGGCCTGAACTCTGGTCCTGAGCTCTGTGCCTCAACTCTTCAGCGCAAGGCTAGCGCTTTACCACTTGAACCACATTGCAACTTCTGGCTTTTTCTGCATATGTGGTGCTGATGAATCAAACCTAGGAATCATGCATTCAAGGCAAGCACTCTACCATTGAGCCACCTTACCAGCCCTTAATTTTTTACTTCTAAACCTCCAAACCTGTGAGCAAATAAATTTGGCTGTTATAAATTACAGTCTAGATAGTAAGCTCAGTTACTCTAGGGGTAGACAGAAAGATATCTTTGAGTATGGCCAGCCTGAGCAAAGAAGTTATTGAGGCCCCATCTCAAATCAGCAAGGCACGCATGACCCCAGCTACTCAGGAGGCATATGTATGTAGGTGGATCACAATCCCAGTCTGTCTCAGAAAAAGAAAGATCCTTTGAGAAAAAAAGCAAGAAAGAGCTGGGAGCATGGTTCAAGTGGTAAAACACCTACCTATACCAAGTGTGAGGCCCCAAGTTCAAACACTAGTACCACACCAACCCCGGCCCCAAAATTACCTCGTTTTTTTGTAGCACAAGTGAGCTATTATATATTCACTGCTATTTATATAACAGAAAACTACAGTACTAACCAAGTTAAAAAGTTTTGTCGAACTGCATTAAAATACATCTTTAAATTTTTTTGTGTGTTTACTAATGTCCTAATATGTAAGTGAAACTATCACTTTCACTGAGTATAGGGGTATTAATTTATAGGTTTTAATTTCATTCATGCCATGTTTTACAAGTTTGGTAATTAGCTTACCAAGGTTTCTAATTAGAAGACTTGTTATTTGAAGAATGTTTAAGCTGGATGTGGTGATACATACCGTTAGTCCCAGCACTTTGGAGGCTGAGGCGGAGAACATTCAGGAGTTCAAGGCCAGCCCAGACTACATAAAGAATCCTATTCTTGAAAGAAAAGGAAAAAATGAATTTCAAATTATTACTGAGAATATTTTGATTTCTAATTTCTGGAGCTTGATTGCTATGGTTTGAATGTCCCATCTAAAACATACATTGAAATTTAATTGCTGCTTTAACAATGAAAACTTTAAGAGGTGATTAGATTATGAGGACAGAGAAGAAATATGACCTGATGGATAATGGCCATTATTTCGGGAAATTTATCATAAAGCAGTCACCTATTGCTCTCCTGTCCTGTCAAGGAATGAGAGAGCAAGAAGGCTCTTGAAAAATGGCAGCATCTTGATATTAGACTTCAGAGCCACCCAACCCTGAGAAATAAGTTACTCAGTCTGTAGACTTTTGATATAGCAGCAGAAAATGGATTAAGTCCTCAGCAGTCTTTGTGCTATGTCCAGAAACTTGAAGATAGCATGGTCAAATGAAAAGAGAATTATTCTGACCAAATGGAGTTTTGTCATAGGAACATTTAGTAGCACTGTAAATCTTAGCAACATTCTGTGCACACTTAAGAAACATTTACCTGCAAACAGAAATATTGAGAAATTTTACATGATTTATTTAATAATAAAGATACAAAAACGTTTAGAGGATTCCAAAATTTAAAGTTCTGTTTAAATACAAATTCACTTTATAACATGAAAACATATAACATTAGACCTCTAAACATAATGATTTTTCATCTACAAAAATTTCTCGACTATTCTAGAAAATTTTCAGAGAACAATTTTTCTTGTGACATTAAATGTACATTATTTACAGTTGAAAAAGTAATCTAAAAACTTTCAGAAACTTGAATATATATTTTTTGTACGCAACTTCCCTCTCCACTCACCCTCAATAAAAAATGATCCAAAATATAAAGCAATTATGCTTTTATAACAACTGACTACTCAGCCAGATTAGCCCAAAACTCACATTCCTTTCTTGGCCCTAAGGAGCCTTGACTTCCTCAGTATAGCAATATATCATTTAGAACTCATCAATGTAAATTTACTAATAGATCACAGTACGCAGTAGACTAAAATACTAAGAAACAAAGTTAAGAATGAATTTTAAGAGGGTTGCTTATTTTTCTACAGTATTTTACCTGTATTTACATTAGGAAATAATCTGATGTTTTGACATAATATTAAAATATAGGTGTTAGAACCATAAAAGTGAGAACTAGGAAACAAACTGGAGATCAATTTTGTGTAGTCCAATGTAATTCTTTTTATGAAAGAACTAACGCCCCAAAAGATCAAATGTCTTGCCTTACATTACATAGCTAGGGGCTGGGAAGGTGGCTCAGTGGTAGAGCACTTGCCTTGCATTCATGAGGCCCTGGGTTTGATTCCTCAGCACCACATAAGCAAAAAAAAAAAAAAGCCGGAAGTGGCGCTGTGGCTCAAGTGGTAGAGCGCTAGCCTTGAGCTGAAGAGCTAAGGGACAGTGCCCGAGCCCAGAGTTCAGGCCCCACCACTGGATTCAAAAAAAAAAAAAAAAGATTACATAGCTAGTTAGCAGAAAAGCCACTAAGGCCATTGCTTTTACAGGGATGGGAAATGTCTAGCCTACAGGTCATGTAAGGCCTCAAAATCATTTGTTCCAAGACAGGAGACATAACCCAGGACTGCCTGTAATCCCTCTCTGCTTATACTGATAATTTTGTACGGGCCAAGGATGATGATGATATAAATATCAAAATGGCCCTTGGCAGAAAAAAAAGGTTCCCCACACATTCTTCAGAAATAGTTTCAGATATATGTATCAAGGATACATTCCAATTTTTAATGTTATTTTATATAATCATACAGTGGCCAACTAAAGTCAATCTAAATGACATCATAATTTTGACAAAGTATAAAATAAGTTTCTTGCACTTGAAACAGCCAAGACTAAAATGTATAATAGTGGAATGAAAATAGTTCCTACATAAATTTCCTGTTGATTTGTATTTAAGTATTGTATTTACAAAAGAACCAGAAAAGCTAATACAATGTAAAATTAGAAAAGAAAATCTAAAAATGCTTATAACAACTGAAAAAAAATCTCAAGAAGAATGTCTTCGTAGTATAAAATGCCTGTTCCTTCAAAACTGAATTCAGAAACATTTGGAGAATAAAGAAACACTTAGGTTTTCCTCCCTCATCTAACAAAGTCAAAATTAACTAGAAATTTAGCAGTTATAAAATTAGGAATCTCTCTGGATTTATCTTAGGTTTAATCAGATAGTTTGCAGACAACTGAAAATGAGTTCAATTTTTAAAAAATTATCCATAATTTTTTTGGTATATTAAAAGGAGTTGGGTTCCAAGAGTTCGTTTTGCTTCATAGCTACCTGAGAGGTAAATCCATTTGAACTGGATACCACCATCACATAGGGCTGTGGTGGCTGCTCAGTTTTCTCTGTGTATTCTTCCAAATCATCTTCAACCTCCTTTTTCACTTCTTTCATATGAGTTTTTATTTCTTGAGCTTTGATGACAGAAGTTATTACAGTGCCAGGTGGGTGAGCAACCACTTGTGAACTTCGAGAAAAGGTCACCACAGGAGAAGTAGCACTGAAGGATGGAGATGAAGCCACACTGACGGTTCCATTGCAAATGGATTGAACATTGCTTGTAAGAACCTGCTGTACATGAGCAGGGCTAAGGACAATTGAAGGAGGAGAACTTGGCTTCTGTGACTGTAGCATAACATTTTCTTTCAGTACTGTCATAGGTTGTGATGATGGAATGGCTTGTAAAATAAATTTCTGAGCTCCAGCACCTGCTGATGGATCTGTGCTGGCTATAACCGTTGTGAGTGGCACTGTCTGGAGTGTTACTGTATGTAATTGCTGATTACCAGGAGACACGACCACTGGAACTTGGGTTGAAGCCTGAATAGTCCTATTGAGATTACCAAATAAAAGTGGTATTATAATTAACATATTCTACATCATTTGAAACTTCAAACATAGAGGCTCAACAAAAAGCTTTTCAGGCGTTATACCATTTGAGTGACATATAGTTTTGTATATAATGACATATTAACATGAGTAGAAAGAAGAATATCAAAATGCTTAGCAAAAAGTTATATATATGAGTTATTTGAAAGAAGATGAGGAATTTAAAAGTGGATCTGTCTTTTGGGTTGTATGTGTGCACACATGTATTTGCATCAGTCCTTGGGCTTGAACTCAGGGTCTGGGCTCTAACACTGAGCTCTTTTATTCAATGTACCCCACTTGAGCCACAGCTCCATTTCTGGCTTTTTGTTGGTTGATTGAAGATTAAGAGTCTCTTGGTGCCTAGACTAGCTTTGAACTAGGATCCTCAGGGCCCAGCCTCCTGGGTAGCTAGAATTACAGGCAGGAGCCATTGGCACATGGCAGCATATTTACTCTTCCAGGATGTTTATCCATTACAATGACTAAATTTAATGTAATTGTTTTCAACTTGTGTTGTCTTAAAATTTACATATAATAGAATTATGACAATTTTAATATCTTACAGTCCCTACATTTAAACAAAAAAAAAGATTACTGTAATTAAGTTTTATGCTAGAAAAGAGCAAAAAATTAAGGACAAGTTTTGGCAAAAAAATAAACAGACGTTTTATCAGTTTTCTAGACCCAAAAATTTTCACAAGTTTTAGTTATAAAGCTACAATATAATGAAATCTTTTAATGGAAAATCCAGATTATGTAATGTGATCATAATTAAATAAAAAGGTATATAAATTATATGAGTCAGTCTAATTTGAACAGTTCAAATGAAATTTGTAGTTATGGCAATTGTAAATATTAAATATTTGAAAATATAACATCCAGATCTCAACTGTTTTCTCTGAATTCTTTTTTCTTTTTTTGGTCGGTCGTGGGGCTTGAACTCTGGGCCTGCACACTGTCCCTCAGCTCTTCAGCTCAAGGCAAGCGCTCTACCACTTGAGCTACAACACCACTTGAGGTTTTCTGGTGGTTTATTGGAGTCTTTCCTGCCCGCAATCCTCAGATCTCAGCCTCCTGAGTAGTTAGGATTACAGGCATGAGCCACCAGCACCCGGCTCTCTGAATTCTTTATGAAAGAAACATTACTACTACTAAATTAGTCCCTGTAAACCAGAGGATTACTAATGTTACAAGACAGATAGAACTGAATCATGACTCAGTGCAATTCAGAAGTTAAAAGCAAAGTTCAGAGGTATACTCCCAGTGGTTTTCCAACTGTCCTTGGTAAACAGAATCTTCATTTCTAGGTACAAGAGTTCCATGGACTCTGCCCATTTATAATACATTTCTCGTCAGATAATGAGGTTGAACATTCATTCTGGTCTTGCTTAGGAACAGATGTTTCAGGTTTCTGGATTGTGCTTTTTGGGTCTGGAGTATGTGCAGATAACTAATAAACTATGGGTTGTGACCTGTGACCTGAAACTTGAGGCCAGGTATGACATTTTCCACTAGTGACCGCTTTTTGGATTAAGTATGCTAAACATTTCTACAAGACATTTTTCTAGATTTGTTTGGTTTTCTTCTTTCAACTCTTTCCAAATCCATACTGCATAGTTTCATAGACTCAGCTGCCAACAATCATTCTCTTCACATAATTCCTTCCTACCTATACAAATAAAGCTGGCTGCCTGACTACATTTCCATTTGTTATCATTTGAAGATTTTCACAATTTAAAACATTTAAACTTGGGTTGGGACTGAAACCCAGAGGTAGATCACTTACCGAGAACATACAAAGGTCCTACCCATTCAGTCCCCAGCACCACATTTTTTAAAAATTGGCTACACAAAGAAGACTGGGTTTAAGTAATATTAACTTACATCAAGAGCAACTGACAAAACCTTGGCATTTATATTCCTGGATATACAACTGTATTGTCTTTGGAAAGGCTCCAATATGCTACGTTAAGTCCATATTCTGGAAAATCATGAGCACTGCAAGTATCCATCTTAATTTTCTACCATCTTCCCTTGTTCCCACTCTAAATCAGGTGAGCCCAGTCTCAATTTCTACAAAAGACCAATCATAAAGCAGGTAGTATTTTCTTGGTCAATTTATTATTCAGCATCTACTGAATAAAAAATAAAAAATTACTTTTCCAACTTCTGGCACACTGAACTCTAAAATAAAGGATCTTAGAGCAGGGCACTGGTGGCTCTATAATCCTAGCTACTAAGGAGGCTGAGATCTGAGGATCACAGTTCAAAGCCAGCCTGGGCAGGAAAGTCCATGAGACTCTTTATCTCCAGTTAACACCAGAAAACCAAAAGTAGTGCTGTGGCTCAAATGGTAGAGTGCTTGCCTTGAGCTGAAGAGCTCAGGGACAACACCCAGGCCAAGCGTTCAAGCCCCACAACCAACAAAAATAAAAATAAAGGACCTTAGATTCTTGACTTCCACACCTGTTTGAATTTTAGGCTGGTGCACTAACCACTTCAGCCACACTTGTTTGAACAGTAGAACAGTTTTCAAAATAGAAGCTTCCCAAGAAATAACATTTCTCAGAACTCAAAGCATTCTAAACATCATAGGATGTCAATTTATGCTGAATTTTTATAGATTCTAGTGATCTGAAAAATGATCTACAACTATCCTTTGGTATTTTTTTTGTCCATTTGAGTCATTCTTTGTGTGATCCATTTAGTGGAATAAAGCAATAAAATTACATAAAATACAGTCCAAGTTTAAAACTAAAGAGTCCTTGATACTATCAGATGAATATCATAATATTGCTCCTTAAGCAATCTGTCAACAAGAGTTCTAGCTTGAAGTTTTTACCTCTGAATCTTGACCTACTTAAATAATGGCTCTGGTCAAAAACATTACATGGTGATATGAATCAGTCACTTTGGTTTTCTCACCTAATACTCGGAATAGTTTCTTCCTGCATGGTGCTGGTTATGGTTGCTTCTCCTTCTGAGACAGCTTGTACTGGCTGTACAACATGAACAGTCCGGAATAACTGGGTAGGATATGGAGACTGTGAGGGCTGCACTGTCCTCACAACTTCTGATGGCTGTGCAATTTCCACAGGATCTTTGGGTTTTGCCACTTTAGAATGCCCTGGTTTTAGAACTGAAGTGGCTCCTCCTTTTACACCTGGACTTGAAGATACTCTTGAACGGCTTGCTTGATTCCTACTTGAAGTGGTTGTTGAAGATAAGGATGGATCCGAAGACTCTATGCTGGAACTTGCATCCTCCTCATCTATATATATAAGGTCTTTTGGCATTTCCTTAAACTGATACACCAAGCGCTGACCTTCCACTTTGGCCAAAATACCCCTCTGATAATAGTACCTATTTAAGGCAAACAGTTCATCGATGTTATTCAATTAAACATCAATTAAGTAAAAGATGACAACAAATTAATTTTTCCTACTCATAAAACATTAAGACTTGTATTCAAACAAGTGAGAATGTAGGAAGTTATACAGAATATACTTATACATTTAGACACAAAAAAAGCCTTTCTTAAATAGTATATACTGGTGACACAGAAAAAACAAGTTACTTTAAGAATAAAAGTGGCTGGGCGCTGGTAGCTCACACCTCTAATCCTAGCTACTAAGGAGGCTGACATCTGGGAATTGTGGTTCAAAGCCAGCCTGAGTAGGAAAATCTATGAGACTTACCTCCAATTAGCCACCAAAAAGCTGGAAGCAGAGCTGTTGCTCAAGTAGTAGAACACTAGCCTTGAGCAAAAAAAGCTTAGGGACACTGCCCAGACCCTGAGTTCAAGCCCCAGGGCAGGCATTAAAAAAAAAAAAAAAGGTACTCTCCTTCAAAAATGTCATGTCTAATATAATAACTGATGAGATGGGGAGAAGAGGAAAAGGAGGTAAAAGGATCATGGTCTAATGGTCCAGACCAAAAGTGTAAGGAAGGCCAGGGGCTGGTGGCTTATGCCTATAATCCTAGCTACTCAGGAGGCTGAGATCTGAGGATCACGGTTCAAAAGCCAGCCCGGGCAGTGAAACTTCTGAAAACTGGAAGTGGCGCTGTGGCTCAAGTGGTAGAGCGCTAGCCTTGAGCTGAAGAGCTCAGGGAGAGCGCCCAGGTCCAGAGTTCAAGCCCCACAACCAATAATAACAAAAAGAAAAAGTGTAAGCAAACAAATTAAGCTGAAAACAAACTAAAACAAAACAGACTGAGAACGTGGAGCCCTGAGTTTAATCTTAAGTACTGCTAAGAAAAAAAAGTAAAATTCACTTCTTTACTAAATTTCTAAAGTTTTTCAACATCTAGGAAATGATAATCTTACACAACAAAAACTGCACATACCTGAGTGCTCTTCCCATGGTTTCATAATTCATATCAGGTTTGTTTTTGTGTTTCCCCCACAACCTGGATACTGCTTTAGAATCTACCAATTTAAAAATGCCTTTTTCTCGCTGGGTCCATTTGATATATTTAGGACAGGTAGCTTTATCCTGGAGAAGGGCCAATAAAAACTCCCAAAGATAAATTGTGTTTCCTGAAACAAAACAATTTATTCTTAAGTGATCAATTTTCCTTTAAAAGAGCACAGTAAATAACAAAGAGCACAGAAAAGTAGGCGCTAGTGGCTCACATTTGTAATCCTAGCTACTCAGGAGACTGAGATCTAAGACTCACAGCTTGAAAGCCAGCCTGGGCAGGGAAGTCCATAAGACTTTTATCTCCAACTTACCTCAAGAAAACCAGAAGTGATGCTGTGGCTCAAAGTGCTAGAGCACTAGCCTTGAGCAAAAGAGGGCAGGACAACACCCAGGCCCCGAGTTCAAGCCCCATGACCAACAACAACAAAGAGCATAGCAAAACACAAATCACAAGATACTGTAAATACTGTAGTCAATTTTTAGGGTCTAATAAAGGATATATGAATAAAGATAATTTTGTCACGTAGATAAGTGATGACTTGAAGACAAAACCATTTGCCGGTTGTAGGTCTGGAACTCAGTGCCTGGGCACTGTCCCTGAACAACTTTTGCTCAGAGCTATCACTCTACTACTTGACCCACAACACCACTTTCTGAGATCTTTGTTTTCCTTCCTCTTTAAGAACCATCACTTAGAAAAAATATGAACAACTTGTATAAAACCTCTGAATACTTATTCTTTAAAAAAAAAAATAAGAGCCAGAGATTAACAACTTACATGAAATTTAACCAATACTTAAGAAGATAATGAAATTTCAAAAACTATGTATGAACTGAAATTCTAAAGATTGAACTCTTACAAGAACTCAATCCATGAATAGAAGAATGGATTATTTTGACAAGTAAGTGAAAATATCTCAAGTGGATTTCTTCAGCTACTTATCATTCTCTTCAAAGAAATTGCTATCTTATATGGCAGCTGTAAGTTCTATTTCAACACATCAAAAAAATACGGTTTCAACTTATATGAAGACACTATAAAGCTTGAGTATTATTTGGCCTCTATTATAGGTAAATTATAGTAACACTTACCCTTCCCATCTTTGTTTTTCTTTTTCACAGATATATTTGGAGTAGTAGCCGGCGAATCTGGTCGTGGTGGTTTAGTTTTTCTCCCTGTAATTAAAATAGCTCTGCCTAAGTATTTGTCATCAAAATTAAAAGAGAAAAAACAATTTAGCTATGTTGTCACTTATCCAAAATTTCAAGTAACCACCTCCTTCCTCACACTACTCAATCCAAAAGTCATACAAGCCAATTTCTCAAAATTCGATTTACTAAAGGAAAAATAACACCAGTAAAAGCTGAAAAATTAACTGTGCTTTGTGTATAACTCAGATAATAGAGTACCTAACTAACAAGCACAAGATTCTTGTTCAAACCCTTACAAAAAATTGAACATTAAGTAATTCAGATCACAAATACATTTATGTAAGAAATAATACTATAAGTTCATATTTTAAAATGAATTCAAATTTCCAATAGTCTTGTCTTTGACATAAAGTAACCATAATTTCTTAAAATTATGGAGACTACTCTTCACAAAGATAAAACTCAGGCTTAAAAATTAGCTATACTGGTTTGTCTGCCTGTAACATATATAAACTTTTGAATACGCAACAAGGAGGCTTTTACCTTTTCTTTATTATTTTCTTTTTGTGCCAGTACTGGGGCTAGAACTCAGGGATTAGGTGCTGTCCATTAGCTTTTTTGCTCAAGGCTGGTGCTCTACCACTTGAGTCGTAACTATACTTCCATTTCTAGCTTTTTTTTTTAATTGTAATTACAGTTTTTTGGGGTTCTGGGGTAGAACCCAGAATGCTACATTTACTAGGCAAGCGCTTTGCCACTGAGCTACATCCCAGCCCCACTTCCAGCTTTTTGGTGGCTAATTGAAGAACCTTCAGTCCTCAGATCTCAGACTTCTTATAAACTAGGATTACAGGAGTGAGCCACCAGCACCCACCTCAAAATATTTAAAGTGTTTGTCTCCTACATGTTTTCTTTCATTTTCCCCCCTTCTTTTGTTTGTACCAAAAGTGGGATTTGAACTTATAGCCTTCAATTCTTGCTTGGCTTTCCCACTAAAGGCTGATGCTCTACCACTTGAGCCATACTTCCACTTTTCTATTAAAGATATTTCTTCATACACTTAATTTGGCAATATTAGAAACTTAGAGATTTAGAGAATCTATGAGGCAAAGCTTTTATGAAATGGTAATTTTTGTATGTATTCCTAAACATCTCATTTTCTGTATTTCTTTTAGCAAACAAACTTTATAGTCATCCATTATGAATCACTAAATTATAAAGTCCATCCAGACAGCCTTCATCTGAGTTGCTGAACTGTTGAAAAACCTTGTTTGAGACTACCTTTTGCCACTCACCTAGAACCACAGTTTGCTCCCTGTTTTTAAGACAAGCCTGCTGCCTGAGGGCATTAACATTCTGTACTTAGTCACCACCTCTTTTCCCAAACTACTCAATCTGCAAGGACTCATCTGTTGTCACAGAGTAGTCAGTGTCTAAGGTTGTATGAGAGCATATTTCTTTATCATCTGGGTTTAGATTCATTGAATTTTCATTACATGTATCAACACTTTAATTTTACTACTCAATTAGGTATATATATTGATATACTAAATTCATCTATTTAATCAGAAGTTGATGGCTATTTGGGTTGTTTCTAGTTATAGACATTTACAAATAGGACTTCTAAAAACCTTCATGCATAGTTTTGTCTATGAACATAGGTTTAATTTCTTTTTATTTCAACACAGTAGCACAATGGCTACTTAGTATACATTATAAAATTTAAGAAACTGAAACTATTTCCAAAGCAACTGGTTTTTATTATCGTTAAATAGTTGTACAAAGGCATTGCCACTTAACAAAGCAGTTTATGAATACAATGCATATTGATCAGTGTCTCCCCTTTCAACATTCTCACTCCCCTTTGACCCAATCCCCCCTCATCTAAGGAATTACTAGTAGACTGACATCTTTCAAATTATATTCCTTGGAAGGACTCTGACCTGCTTTTATCCTCAAACCTCTTTTTGAGCTTATACGAAAGGGTTTAGGTAAAACTTTGAAGACTTCAAAAGCTGACATAAATCTTTTTCCCCCCTTTTTTGTCAGTCCTGGGGCTTGAACTCAGTGCCTGGGTGTTGTCCCTGAGCCCTCTTTGTGCTCAATGCTAATGTTCTACCATTTTGGCCACAGCACCACTTTTGGCTTTTGAGTAGTTTATTGGAGATAAAGAGTCTTATGGACTCTTATGGACTTTCCTGCCTGGGCTGGCTTCGAACCACAATCCCCAGATCTCAGCTACCTGAGTAGCTAGAATTCAGGTATGAGCCACCAGCACCTGCTTCTGACATGTATTTTTTTATATTTTAAATGTGTAATATAATTTTAATGGCTATAATATGAAATACTGTTTTAATTTGTTTTATGCCCTCAATTTTTTCTTACATGTTTTAATTGATGTAGATATAGGCTTGAATAAAAATATTTGGATTTCACATCAAGACTTGATTATTTGACCTAAACAAATTAACTACCCACCTTTCTTTCTTTTAGGCTGTTCTGGGGATGAGGCTCCTGGTGAATCTGCATATGTCTCTTGCACCTGTTGAGTTTCCATCACTTCAGGAATCCCATCTAATGTGACGGATACATGGGTGATTGGAGCAACAATGTCATCTTCAGAATGACTAAATATGTTATTAGCTAATGGAAATAGAATAAAAATTACAATCAACAGTGTATTAGAAATGAAAAGAGTTTCCTAATTCTATGAAGATATGAGTAGAAATTGAAAACCTGTATTCTCTTTTTGTTTTCTCTGTCCTATATCAAGAACCCTAAATCAGTCCAGGCTTGTCTGGACTATATCATTATTTTTCTTTTGTTCTTATCACCAATATTTCATCTCTATGTTAGCATTATCTTCTTTTAGTTTACTTTTTTTATTTAGTGTTAAGAGCTTTGCACTGGTAGGCTATTATACTACTGCTGAGCCACACCTTCCAGTCCTACCCCCTCATTGTATATAAAACAGGGTCTCACCTTTAGTGCCCTAGCATATACTTTAATTGTGATCCACCTGAATTGTGATTGAACTACAGAATTCCTGTAGTTGCTGGGTTCACAGGCGTGCAACCACCATGTTTAGTATCCTTCTGCAGAAATTCTATCCTGGAACTTCTACCTTCCCAATTTCAACCTCCCACTTAAGTAGCTTGGAGCTTGGAATGTCAGAGGCAAATCACTGTGGTATAGTTATGGGCTGAGAAAGTCTCTCAAACGTTTCTGCCCAGCCTGGTCTTAAACTTTGATCTTCCTAATCTCAGCCTCCCAATTGGCTAGTTTCATAGGCTGGAGCCACAGGCATCTGGCTTTGGAGTTATCTTCTAAAGCCTGACCAAAGTATCCCTCTACATAAAATTAAAGGAAAAATTATAGGAAAAAAAATCTCTTCCTATAATTTACTAAGAAAAAAAATTTAAGAACAATGCAAACTTTGTAATATGCTTTCACAGCTTCGACAATGTAATATACCTTTCTAATCTCATTTTCCACTCACCATAAAGCTTTTACTTCAGGTACAACAAGCCATGTTCCTCTTAAATTTTTTGTTTTTTCACAAGTCTGTGTCTGTTGATCTATTCCCTCTAGCTAGAGTACTCTTTCCTGACTCTTCTATCTAGTGAAGCTTATTTATCATTTATAACTCAAGCTAAGCACTCCCTCTTAATGCCTATCCCTCTTAATGCCTATCTCTCTTGTTCTCATCTAGAGCATTCCAGAACACTTTGCTATTACTCTCCATGTCATTATTTTTGGCCTTTACAATTATTCACATAAGTAACTAACTTAAAATATTAAACATAGAGGAAAAGACAAACATTATTCATTTGTATTATCCTGTTATTGCCTAAAAATTTGTACATCCTTTATTGCTGTATGCTACTAGGCATATAGCAAATATTTTGCAATGATTTAGTAATTTTATGAGTTTAAGTCCTTGTCAGAAAAGCCCAAAGGCGAACATGGATTTTAAAATATGTATCAATATCACAGCAATAAATTTTATTACATTAAAACTGTAACCCTCTGTACATCATCTTTATAATAACAATAAACTTTTTTTTGGGGGGGGTCCGGTCGTGGGGCCTGAACTCTGGGCCTGGGTGCTGTCCCTCAGCTCTTCACCTCAAGGCTAGCACTCTACCACTTGAGCCACAGTGCCACTTCCGGCTTTTTTTTCTGCTTATGTGGTGCTGAGGAATGGAACCCAGGGCCTCATGCATGCAAGGCAAGCGCTCTACCACTGAGTCACCTTCCCAGCCCTAACAATAAACTTTTTTTAAAAATTAAAAGTAATCAATGGATTTTTATCTGTTCAATTATGCTTATCTATAGAGATGGCTAAATTATAATAGCCTGGTTTCAAAAACTTTAATATTTTCACCAATGGAGTTAAGAGAGGAAATTTATCAGTGTAATGTGTGACAATTAATGTATTACTTTTTTGCTCCTGAAGGCTTCAGTCCCCAAAGTACAGAGTTTTCTATTCTAGGCACTGGCGGCTCATTCACGTAATCCTAGCTATTCAAGAAACTGAGATCTGAGGAGCCTGGTTTGAGCCCAGCCTGGCAGAGAAATCCAAGCAACGTTTTTCTCCAATTAACCAGTAAAAATCCAGAAATGAAGATGTGGCTCAAGTGGTGAAATGCCAGCTTGAGCAAAAAAGCTAAGCAAGAGTGAAAGGCTCAGAGTTCAAGACCCAGTATCAGTACCTCCCCAAAAAACGTTTTCTTTGAAGATTTTACCACAGGTGACTCAACTAATAATGTCCTATAAAATGTGCTTAGAAACTCAAAAATATAACCATAGTTTTGATATTTACCATTTAATGGAGAGAGAAATGGCAAGAATAATTCACAAAGTACATACTATGAGTGATTCAACCACTTACTTCTTTTTTCATCCAGCACAGGGCCAGGAGAATCCATATTGAGGAGTGCCTCAGCAGCCTCAATCGTTTCAATGGTTTCATCCTCATTATGACAGGAAGCTTCAACTGAACACATACAAAGAAAAATTAGCTACAATATATACGTTGCTCTGAAATTCATATATTACTAGCTGAAGCAAGATGCATCACTTCATACTCTAAGTTTATATGCACACAAATTATGTATAATTTTTGTGAACATATGAAACAGTACTGAATCTGGCTATTAAGTAAGTGCCTAATTTTATTTAAAAATAACTTTTGGGCTGGAAACCTGGCTCAGTGGTAGAGTACTTGCCTTTCATGCATGAGGCCCTGGGTTCGATTCCCCAGCACCACATAAGCAGAAAAGGCTGGAAATGGAGCAGTGGCTCAAGTGGTAGAGCACTAGCCTTGAGCTGAAGAGCTGAGGGACAGTGGCCAGGCCCAAAGTTCAGGCCCACCAACCGACAAAAATAAAAAATAAAAAAATAATAACTTTTATAGCCAAATGCTAGTGGCTTACACCTGTAATCTAAGCTACTCAGAAAGCTGAGCCCAGGCAGATAAATCTGAGAGGTTCTTATTTCTAATCAACCAGCAAAAGGCTGGAAGTAGGGATTTGATTCAAGTAGTATACTACAAGCTTTGAACAAAATAGCTAACCAAGGGTTTGAGGTCTCAAGTTTAAGCACCAGTACCAGCACAAGCATATACACACAGATACTGACACACACACACACACACGCACGCACGCACGCACGCACGCACGCACACACACACACACACACACACACACACAAAACAACCACCATAAAAGACCCCAACCTTTTGCAAGGAGCTGGAGATAAGTAAAATATAGATCATACTCTGGATGAAAACCAATTAATTTGTAATTCTTACATTTCCAGAATAAAGATGAACATTAGACTGCTATGGAAAGGGTCCTGGTTTGACAGAAATCTTGTTACTAAATGCACTTAATACCAAATAAATCATTTTGTATCTCTAGATCCTTCAAGGTTGAAGTGACAGTATATAACTGAATCTAAACCTTTTATTTTACACAAGAATAAAAGGTAAATATAAGCCAGGCACCAGTGGTTCATAGCTGTAATCCCAGCTACTATAATCCCAGGCTGAGATCTGAGGATCATGGTTCAAAGCTAGCTAGGGCAGGAAAGTCTATGAGACTCTTATCTCCAAATAACCCACCCAAAAACTGTAAGTGCTATGGCTCAAGTGACAGAGCCTTGAGTACAAAAGCTCACAGACAGTATCCTAGGACTAGCAAATACATACACAAAATAATAAATATAAACATGGTATTTGTAACAGAAGATGCTCCACATAGGTGAGAGTAAAGTTTAAAATTTTCAAAAAAATTTAGCAATACAAGGATTTACACAAATAAAACTTACCTAGAAATAAATATATAAATGCAGTGTTTAGGGGGCTGGAAAAGTGGCTTTAATGGTAACGTACTTGTCTCACATGCATTAGGACCTGAATTCAAATTCCAGTTCTGCCAAAAAGTGGCTTTTTAAAAATTCTGATGGTACTAGAATTTTGAACTTAAGGCCTTGAACACACTCAGCCTTGTTCACAGCTGGTACTCTAACAGTTGAACCATATTTCAAGATCTGTTTTTTGCTGGTAACTTGGAAACAGAGTCTTGAGGACTTTCCTGCCTGGGCTGGCTTCGAACTGTAATGTTCCAGATCTTAGCCTTCTGTATAGCTAGGATTATAAGCATGAGCCACCAGTATCTGACATTGCACATTTTTTATAAGTTCAAATTTATACCCTGATATGAAATAAATTAATAACTAATCATTTTGATGAGCATGGAAATCGTGACTAATTATTTTGTTGAGCAGGTTATATAGGACAGTTATAATCTACTTTAAGCCTCAAATTTCATGGTCATTAACTATTTTTATAATTAGAAATTTCAAACAAAATAGAAGAGACACAGTATAATGAAAATTTATGCTCATTCCCTACTTTAAACATTATCATGTGTGAGTCACCAATGTCCAGTTCTTTTTTTTTTTTTTTTTTTTTGGGGTCCAGTCGTGGGGCTTGAACTCGGCTTGGGCGATGTCCCTCAGCTCTTCAGCTCAAGGCTAGAGCTCTGCCACTTGAGCCACAGCGCCACTTCCGGCTTCTTTCTTTTTGCTTATGTGGTACTGAGGAATCTAACCCAGGGCCTCAAGCATGCAAGGCAAGCGCTCTACCACTGAGCCAACTTCCCAGCCCACCAATGCCCAGTTCTATAAATGTTTAATCCTTTAGTCAACTTTCCAAAGTACTTTTGGTTTTTAGGTGATTTTGCTTGTGACATTAAAATTTTAACCAATCTGGGATTTGTTTTGATATTTTAGAGTATGATTAAGGTAGGTAGGAATCTAACTTCTTTTTCTCCCTACTCGCCACCAAATGGGATACGCAGTCATCCTTCCTCTCCTTTCTAATTGAAATGTCACTAGGTTATATGTAAACTTCCTGGAATAGACCAGTACCTGTATTTGGCCTTAATATTCAATTCTAATATCCAACTTTCTTTTCCTAATAGCACCTCTGAACGTTACTGTCACTTCAAAGTTTTAGTATGTGGTAGTGTTTTTGTTTGTTTTAAGCCAGTCTTGGGTCTTAAACTCAGGGGCTGGGCACTGTCCCTGAATTTCTTTCCTCAAGGCTAGTGTTCTAACACTTGAGCTTTATTTTCAGCTTTTTGGTGCTTAATTCATGGCCTTTTCTGGCTGGGCTGACCTCAAACTGAGATCCTCAGATCTCAGCCTCTTCAATAGCTAGGATTACATGTGTGAGCCACCAGCACCCGGCTTTGCTAAATTTTTTATGCGAGAAATGTTTACTGAAAGGCTTTTTCTACTTATGTGGTGCTAAGGAATCATACCCAAGGCCACATGCATGCAAGGCAAGCACTCAGCCAGGCGCCGGTGGCTCATGCCTATAATCCTAGCTACTCAGGAGCTGAGATCTGAGGATCACAGTTCAAAGCCAGCCCAGGCAGGAAAATCCGTGAAACGCTTGTCTCCAATAAACCACCAGAAAACCAGAAGTGGCACTGTAGCTCAAGTGATACAGCACTAGCCTTGAGCTGAAGAGCTGAGGGACAGCACTCAGGCCCAGCGTTCAAGCCCCATGACCACCAAAA